TTGTACAAACAAACGACTGAATTACCAGTGCAATGGCAAAAAAGAACAATACGAATATACGCTCGACCATGCTATATTTATACAAAAACATACGATACATAATTATGGAATTGGAGGGCAAACTCTATCCTGGTTGAAAGACTACTTGTCGAACAGACATCGATATGTTTTATGTGATGATACTGACTCTAGTCTTTTACCGAATAGGTATGATGTCCCTCAAGGCTTCGCTCTGGGACCACTTCTTTTTCTTTTGTATGTAAACGATATAATGAACGCATCATAATTATGTTATGTCATTGGTTCTCTTTGCTATACGACATACATATTTTTTTTTACTCACACAAGAACATTGAAATACTAATGAAAACCTTTAAATTGGAGTTACCAAAAGCGTCCACATAGTTTAAGAGCAATAAGTTACCTCTTAGTATAAACAAAACTCATTTGATACACTTCAACCGCCCTAATGCATACAGAACTGCAAATATGACAATTAGCTTTTTGATTGATAACTTACCCTTAGAACAAGAGCGTAACTCTAGGTTTAAGGAGTGATTATTGATGAATGTCTAACGTGGAATGCCGATCTAAATTATATCAACAGATCTGTATCTAAAAGTGTAGAAATTATATTTGTAAAATGATTAAAGAATTCACTAAAACGGTTTCGTTTTTTTACCCATTCAGAAGCTGCAGGCAGTTAACATTTTTTGTAATATCAATATTTTGCAGGTTACAATGTTTATGTTCAAATAATCCAATAGCCTACTTCGTCCGACATTCCACAACCTGTTTATTCTACACAACACAATCCACCCTTATCCGACACGAAACTCTCAGAACTGTCATTTGATAAATCCCCAATTGCTAACTGTGCATAAAGATTTCCGACACTATGGCCCTGGCTTATGGAATAGTCTCCAAATGTTAAATCATGTACTACGATAAATTCTGTCATTGCTGCCATGAATCGTAAATTATTATCAGCTTACAATTCATAATGTAATAAGCACTCGCACAAACACTTACGCATGTACATATATAAAGATTTTTTTTTTTAAGTTTCACAAAAGACATACATTTACAAAATATACACATTTACACATTCAACGCATCTTATATGTTATGCCTGATGAGACAAAAAATGTACTTCATTACGTGGCCGTTATGACGACTTTATTTCTGATTATACTATGTGTTATAGGTTTCGTCGCCCATATAGGTTCCTTTCATGAGGCCGCCATCACGTTCAAGCTCTAGCTTTAGGTGATCTCCTGCTTTTTTTCTTTTTCGAAAGATAAGGCCAATACGATTAAATATGTATTTTAACTTTTGTTAATAACGTATATGGACTTGGTTTGTATATCAATTTCTATTGTTGACAAATTCAAAAATAAAATCAAAAAGAAAAACAAATTAAAAGAGATTTTATGCAAGCGCCCCCTAAAATGGAGAATAATTCATGCACTCTACAAGACTACTGATAACATTATATGGCACTACGAAGGGCGTAGATGTGTAGGAGTATTTATAAAAGTGAGGGTAGAAAATTGTAAGAATCAAACTCTCTTGGGGAGTACAAAATGTCAAATTAAAGAGAAGGTTGTGTTCTGGGAAGAGGTGAAAAATAATTTGTGAGCGTTATCATTCTTATTATGCAAGTGTGGAAAAACTTCAGATGAGACATGTTCCCTGAAAAGCATGGCTCTTCAAATGCCTTCATATTCTAAATGTGTCATGTAATCGTAAAACTCGGGGTTAGGATTTTTACGCCTCGTGTTCGTGTAGTCCCATATACATCTTTCTGTGTACACTGTTTGTAACTTTACCAAGACTTGGCCAAATTTCTTATCATTTTGATGATTCCAGAACCTTGCAATACACACTAATTCTTATATGCTAGATGATCAACTTTTTCTGGTCGATTCCACACCGTTTCTTTCACAATGCAATCGCATGACCAGAACTCAACTTCATCTTTCAGGAGCAAGAGGAAGAATTAGTAACGAATTAAGATATTCATCAGGTTCACTAGAGTCAGGAATTTCACATTTGGTAGCCTCATTGGACAAGCCTCCAGTTAACAAATACTAAAACATTTTCTTGTCATAGGAATTCCTATTCTGATTGCACGACATGAGGAAGCAACGTTCTTAAAGGCATAATCAGTAAGGGTATGATTGTGTAGAAAGATAAAAACAGAGAGTACTTATAACTGCAACAGCAATATTCTTGCATTAAATAATATATGTAAATATAAAAGTTAAACTATTAAAATACCAGGTAGTTGTCTATGATCTATTTTCAATTGATAAAAACTCCGAAATCCGGTAATTTTGACACGAAATACATTATCGTTGATATTAAGCTTTACATTCCCCATAGATATACAGCGTTTGAAGAATCTTCTGATAGTAACTATAATATAATTATGAAATGAACCGATTGTGCCACCAACCCCTTGTTTTTTATTTCGATGTGTCATTACGCTACTCCATCCGGGGTATGTTTTAAGAACCTTGAAAAGTGTGTAATGATACAGACTTTGTAGCTTCCAAAAGTCCGTGTGAAATTTAGGATATTTCTCTTTCATATTAGGTATTCTGAGTATAAAGCAATCATTTTTATATAACAAAGATAAGAGTGGAGCTAAGAAATCCTTGAGAAACACTATATGTATACACAATTGTGTTTGTGTGTGTGTGCGTGTGTGAGGGATTTGTAAGGACCCTTCATTGTACTTCTTTAGATGTTTGTTTCATCCAGAAAGATAATTTGTATCATGAAACATATTTATCCAAACTGGAAAACACACTTGAATGATTGAAAAGGAATGTATATATTTGCTGACTCCAACCATGCCAAATATTCAATGATTATGAAGCGCTCCGAGGAGACCCTGTAGCATCACTTTTATATGAATATCTGCTATTTCATAATAAATAATAGTGACATAATATTACGTTTAAACTGAAGAGGCTGTGAAAATAACTTGGAGAAATAATGAATACATGAATTAAAGAGTATGATAAATGAATGATTAAGTAAATTAGTAAAGAAAGAAAGAAAGACAGCAATTTTAATTACATAAGAAATATATAAATGAATGAGAAAAACGACATATAACTGAATAAATGAATGAATAAAAATACACCAATACAAAATACACGACTAAAATATGATAAAGAAATATCCTATAAACCTAAAGGGGCTTTCACACCGGGCCTTGCGTAGAGTTGCGTAGAGTTGCGTAGAGTTGCGTAGCGACTACGCCGATCGTACGCAACCCTACGCCGATCGTACGCAACCCTACGCAACTGTACGCGGAGGGACGCGAATGGGTACGCGAGATGAACGCAAAAAATTAAACATGTTTAATTTTTTTCGCGTACCTTTGGCGTAGGCTTTACTACGCAACTGTACGCCAAGCCTACGCAACTGTACGCCAAGCCTACGCAACTGTACGCCAAGCCTACGCAAATGTACGCCAAGCCTACGCAACAATACGCTACCCTACGCCAGTCCGACGAAGCATTAAAAACGTATGGTATAAAGATTTTTTTGGGTATATACCTGGATGTAAACTTGGCAGGTATTGATCATTGATCATTCTTGCTTGTAATTCTGTTTGTACTACTACAAGGTATTTCAGACTGACATGTTTTGTTTTGTTATGGTTTATTCAATTTGTGATAATTGACATCTCAGGCTGTTGATATAACAAACAGAGATAAGATTCATAAACTGATGCCTCATGCGAAATGTTATTATGTTTTGCGGAAATCTGTATGTATTTGTGTCGGTTTGTTTGCTTGTGTGTACGTTTGTGGTCCTGTTTGTATGTTTGTAATATAATTTTGTTTAATTGAAATGAGCAAAGAAATAATTTTGTCTCACTCTGTTAGTGAGACTGAGTGAGTGTAGATTAGTAACTCCATGGTGTATGTCAGAAGTATTTCTTTAAATCTAATAAATGACTAACATTTGATATCATTACATTGTCACACACAAATACGCTGCGGACCAAGGACAACAGATATCGTCTTCAAACTTTCAGGAAACTGTTATGGAATGATATTTTACAAATGAGTGATAAAAAGGGATATGATCAACAAATATCAGACTTCTGTCCACATTTATTCACAAATCAAAATAAGCGCTCTCTTTTGTTGGCGTTCAAATCACATCACGTGACCTTGCAATGTTCATCAAAAGAAAAATCATGTATTACCCTTTTGAATGATACATAGTACAATAATGTAGTACATCAACAAAAATGTCTGCATTTTTTGGAAAATAAAATATTGAACAAATTAACATTACTGCAAAATAACCTCAGCAGTTGCTAATACCTACTAAAAAAACTGAAAATTTAACGGTCAAAAACGTGTACCAAATGCCCCTTTTTACTATGAAAACTTATGGCAGGTTTATAAATGTTATTTTCTACACTCACTATTTTACGCAAATTGGCGTTTCAGCCCTATTTCACGCATGCAAAAGAGACCCACTGCCCCTTGGATGTCACAGTTTGTCAGAATGTTATTATTATACTAAGATCAAGTTATGTTCACATGTAATAACATGTACAATTATTTGTACACTGCACAGTTCATTTATACAATAAATTGAACTGTCTTTTTAACATTTTTTTATTTTTATTATATATGCTTATAAAGCGCCAATGGCTATACTCGCGGCTCCTACAAAGCGTCTATTGCATGTTTACATGGCATTTTCGCACACAGTAAGCAACCGTACGCAACCGTAACGCCAGGCCTACGCAAGCTTACGTAACCCTACGCCAGGCCTACGCAAGCGTACGTAACCCTACGCCAATTGCCTACGCACAGGGTACGTAACTATACGCCGATCGTACGCAAGCCTACGCAGGGACTACGCCGAAGCATCAATTTATTCATGAGTACGCAGCTTAACTTCGGCGTAGTCGGTACGCAACACTACGCAACTCTACGCAGATCCGGTGTGAAAGGGGCTTAAGAGATATGAAATGGGCAGTCGTAATAAGACAGGGCGACGGTCAAACGATCTTCCATGAGTTCAAGGCTGGTATACATAGGCAGCCGCAAGGTACGGCGGTAGCCATGGTTATCGCAACCATGGCCCTCTGGCATCAGCAGGGTGAGTCTGTCTTCGTTGTCGCACGGTTGCTCGTCCACGGAATCGTCCATGGGTACCTGGAGGGGATCGATGTGGAGACCTAGGTTTCCTAGTCCACCGACCGGGACGCGATCAGACCCCGCGACAAATACTGTAACAAGATAAATCATAATATTATGAATTATATTATAATAATATTAATCATAATAAAAATAATTTAATAAAAATGATAATAAAGATAATAATAATTAAAATAATAATGATAATAATAATAATAATAATAATGATAATGATAATAATAAAAACAATAATTATAACCCTCATGACATCAACATTGCAGTCCAGGATAGCTAGAGACAAAAGGCTTAATAACACAGATCTGAGGATAGAGATAAAGAGAATAGGGAACGTCAAAGGAGAGGTGAGTCCAATAGGCTAAACCATCTGACACATAGGCATGGTGAAGAAGGGCATTGAAGGTCTCATCGCCAAGATCTTCCCAAATCCATACTCTACGACTCTACGACTTGCATAAGATAGCTATATTGAGCACAACGAGAAATTGGGAAAACTCTTGGACAGTAGAACAATAGAGTATAACAGAAAATAAAGTAAATAGCACTTAGTGCTTTTTGTTACAGCAAAGTGATTTTAGAAAAAAAAAAGGACTTGATCTTGTTTTAGGAATAATTATGATGATGATAATCATAATGATAATATCAGTAAATCAATAATCATTATTAATACTGTATCCCTGAAAGCCCTGCAATCGTATTATAACCCCCGGCTTAGCATGGCTACCGCGCACGAGCATTCAAGGAATTTCTAATTCCTGCCGGGTACCCATTTACTACACCTGGGTGGATCAGAGTGGAAAAAGTAGATTGAGATTTCTCAGTCCTGCGACGAATCCAATAGACCACCACACCTCTACAGATAATAATAATGATAATAATAATAATCATGTGATGGTGATGATGATGATGATGATGATAAGATGATGGTGATGGTAATAACAATAATACTAATCAAATTAATCACTATTAATCAGTTTCAACGCTGCTCTTCCTGTGGTCCATTTAATTACCGCTACCCCCAGCGATGCCAGGCACCCATTTGCCCGTGAAGTAACGGGCAAGTACGGGCAAACAACTGTTCCAAGGATGCAAGCACAGGAACTGAAATCTAAGCTACAGGAAACCCAAGGAAGGCCGAAGGACCATGAAGCCAAAGATGGCCTCGATCTTCAGTCTCGTGAACCTTCTGACTGGCTAGTTGCTACAAGATTAACGAGACAAAAGTGTTCAGTCTCGTAAAAATTCCTGCCGGTGGGCAATATTGGCCACGCGAACCTTATCCTCGTGCAATTTCTGTTAATTGGCCTCTGAGGAGCACTGTTGAATACTGGTAAAGGCTGTGATTTCTAATATGAGAGGTCCCATGTTTTATCCTTGCTCGGTGCTTACATCTTAGTTTTAGCATGTTGTTTCGCCCACATTAATTTGTTCCTCTCAACCAGGGTGTACTAGGGATCTGACACTGATGGGGTGCTCATAATTGCAGTGCCCATGGAACAAGCAGTATTACCATTGGTGTGGGTATACTGAAAAAAGACCAAGTTGTCATTATTATAAATCTAGAATCTCAACACTGACCTTCTGTATCCTTTCCATTTAATGGTCGTTATAGATATCATTATTGAATGGGTGGCTAAGCATATAAACAATAGGTAAATCTAACATTTTAGACTTACCAAGAAACTTTCTTTTCATGTCATCGTCTAGAGCATGAAATACCTTCCAGAACATCTTGATGGTTGGGTGCGAGTCTTTATACGGTTGTATATACTGAGTCGACTGATAATAAATCAAATTATAAATCATTAACAAAATAAAATATTAAGCAGATTTCCCACGTGGTTCATATTTTGTTGAAAGTTTTTCATTTACTACTACACAATTTCAGTGTCAAACACAATAAACGTTTTTTGACAAATTCCAATTCTCTAACAATCAATCAATAACCAGATAAACCAATTGCTCTAACTATAAGATCGATGGCAAGCAAACTTCTTTGCAGTGTCATATAATTTTACAATTTCGATTCGTTACTATAAAAAACAGGATATAAAATATAACATGTATGTACCTTTACATTTTGCATTGTTTTGCTTGGAAACTTCTACATTTGTAAATTATTGTTCATTAAGAAAAGTAGGAATGTATAAATTTATACTAACTCCCAAACCCTTTTGTGTCAGAGTAAGGTTCGTTCATACAGCTGTTTACCGCGCCATTTCACGTAAAGAAGTATTGACCTGTCAGTGGAGTTTCTGTCACCGTTTTAAAAGCTTTCGGCTATTAAATAAAAGGGGAAACAAATTCATGTTATTCATGAAGCGTCTCATTATTTTGGGAGTGTTTTTTTCAATAAGATATATTTAAATGTACAATGGTGCAACCCCGTGTTTCAAAGATTTGTGGACATTTGCGGCCATTGATACATTAAACTGGTCTATTATGTATTTTTAGTGTGGTCCATATCTAATAATAATATTCGATTTATATAGCGCCTTTTCCAAATGATACAAGGCTGTCTCTGTCTCTTAGTATATCAGCCATTTAAGAGGAGTTGTAGAAGTATGTTTTCAGTGGTTTTTAAAGAAATCTAGTGAAGTTACCTGCTCAAGGGCTTTCCAATCGAAGTATTTCTCTCCGATGACAAGCGCTTCTAACTCGATAGGTCTGAACATATCAAAGGCCGCGGGATTGAAGACTCTGTTGAATCCTTGCTTGAAGGCTGCAAACTGTGACGGAACCAGGTACTCTCGAACCCTGTTGTCCACGTAGAGATCACTTTGGCACAAAGAAGATAAAATAATAGTTGGAGGATTGAGAATATCAGAAAACATTAATTCACTGAGGACTGACGAAAGGGCATGCAAAAGAAGCATGAAGTCGACTGCACATACTGTGGTAAGAAATTCTATATGGTAATTTTCCGGGGGTAATAGTCCTCGGGAGGGGGGATAGTTGTCCCATGGAGGGTAATTTTCTGGGGGTTATTGTCCCTGGGGGTAGTTCCCCGCTGGTAATTTGCAGAAGGGTGATCGCCCAGGGGGTAATCGTCCAAGAACCTTTGACAAATCTGCCATTTTAACTATATGCCCAGTTTTAGATCAAGCTGCCTTCAGACGTCGTTGGGCCTGTTTTCCTTACATGTTTTCTGTCGTGACCTCGACGCTCCTCCCATCTTCCAGCTTAACCTCACCACCATAGCAACACTCCATCACGTAATCTTCTGTTCCAGTTCGTAATTCGCACATCTGATCTGCGAACTCCTTGTCGAGCTCTGCTGCTTCCTCCATATTACTGTTAGGGCTGATAATCAACGAGAAATCAAAATAAGTTCATTAAATTGTAACAAAGCAATATCTTAAAGAGACATGAAAAAATGAATACACAACTTCATCTATACATTAAAAAAGACAAGAAAAACAATAGATAACAAATAAAAAAGATAAAACAAAGATAAAACAAAGATAAAATATGAATATAAACATAAACAAATAAATAAAATCATAAACCTATAAACATGTGATAAATAATAGACCAGCGCTGGCACCAGTTTGAGGGTTTATGATTCTAGACAATAGACACTACAGACACTGCTCTACCGTATGCCTCTATACAGGAGGAACTCACGTTAGATGTCGAAACAAAATATCATAACATCTATATAATTTTGTTGAATTAAAATGAAGGTGATGTTTTTGTTATGACCATGCGATACAATCAAGCCTACACACAAACATGTGATTATATGCACTGACATTCGGGATCACAGTGTGTGTAGGCTTGATTGTATCGCATGGTCATAACAAAAACATCACCTTCATTTTAATTCAACAGATAGTCGCTTCGTTTTCTTCTCCAAAACACAAGGCGACGTGAGTTCGGCTAGTTACCATGGATCTCATGAAGTACTACTCGTTTGGCTAAGCATTATTATTTTAATTTTTTTTCGTATAAACTCGATATCTTTTTTATGTAACGAGGCCCTTGATAAAATCAACAAAAAATTAACTGGAGATCACTTTGTGGTGTCACTAATAATAATGATAGGCATTTATAAAGCGCCGTCTATCTAGACAATTCTATCTCGAGGCGCACAACAAAAATAGAAAGAATGAGAGTTTGGATGGGTGTCATAGTGCCAAGTACTGGCATTTTTTAAACAAAAAAAGATTTCAGCATGAATTTAAAGGTCTTTAAGGAAGTTATGATTCAAATTGAATGGTAAATTATTCCAAAGAGAAGGTGCTGCAATGAATACATTTTTTTCTTCAGATTCTAAATATCATATGTTTTGATACCAGTTGTTGTTGTTGTTGTTGTGACATGTAATGATACGACCAATAAGTGCTTCATCAAATCCAGAGCCAATATTTCCTCCGTCACACCGAGAAAGAGCTATCGCGTTTTTCGTGTGCTGTTAATGTTAATGTTTGTTGTTGCTATTGTTTTTGTTGTTGTTGTTGTTGTTGGTGGTGGTGGTAGTGATGTATAAAGAGCAACATACCCCTTTCCTAGAAGCTTGGCGTAGAGGAGTTGTGGGAACGGTAATGGAACTATTGCCTTGTTGTGCAATGAAAACGCAAACAGGAGACCACATATCTCGGCCAGCTCTGAGTCCTCACAGTCCTGTTTTACAAAGGTTATCAGGAAGAGTGGTTTTGGTTTAGTTCGTACCACTGAATGTGTATTGCACATGCATATTTGATGTTATATACAAAGCAAAGTGAGTTTCATTAATGTATTGCTTTTTCTGAAATAGAAAAGAAGAAGCATAACTACAATACAAACGCACTATGAGTCCTCAACAAAAAACAGCCAAACTTTTGAATGTCATAATAAAATGAAAAAGACAGATCGAATATTTTTTTGTTATGGGTAAAACGCAGCAATAACATGTTACCCCCAAAATCAAACTCCACTTTATTTTCAAATAAATCAGTTAAATCATAACAAGAACATATTTTGAGTATCGTTCTCTTGATACCTGTTAAATTCCCTAAAAAAGCAATTGACTTATGCAATGCTTTTAGAAATATTATTTTACGAGAAATGTCCAAACATATAGGCCAAGTATGTTTGGAACATATTTTACTATACAAAAGAGGTGAAACTTGGATTGTATCTAAATCTAAAGTGTGTATCAAAATACAACATAAACAATGGCAAATAATTATGGAAGTTAAAGATAAAGGTGAGTTCTGGTCATCCGACTGCATTGTGAAAGAAAAGGTGTGGAATGGATCAGAAAAAGTTGATCATGTAGCATGTAAGTATTGGTGTGTACTGCAAGGTTTTGGGGTACTCAAAATCATACTAAATATGGCCCAGTCTTGGTAAAGTAACAGGCACTGTACATAGAAAGATGTATATGGGACTACACAAATGGTGTCGGGGCTACTAACCTTCATTTCATAATCTTTCTATGCTCTTTCTCAGCTAGTCTACATTGTTTACCAAAATTGTTTGTCAAATGACATTTATTTGTAATCTTGAACATTCAGTGTATTTTGGTTTGATCCTGAGAGAATTCATTTTCTTTTTTTCCCAGAACTTACCATTATCTTTAACCTATAAATAATTTACTAGTTTGAAGATGTTCACTCAAATTCACCAATAAATTGTCTTTAAAATGCAGGTTCTGATCACAGTAGAAATGCCAAAAAGATTGATGTAGGCCTGCCTACCTTCCGAAACCAGACAGGCGAGTGAGTCTTGTCGAGATCGTTGACATATCGGAAAAGATCGTTCTTTTCCGGATCAACAAGTTCCTCAAACACAAGCCGGAGAAAATCCTGTTTTTGTTCAAATAAGAAGACATACATTTTAAAGCTTGAGCAGTGTGGTGTTTTTTAAACTGGTGAAGGCTCTTGACTCTCAAATGTGAGATCCCGAGTTCGATTCTTGCTTTGTGCACTACTTTGTCCTTTGTCCTAAACATTTCTAAATATTTTGTCTCTCTCTCTCTCTCTCTCGCTCTCTCCCTCCCTCTCTCTCTCTCTATCACTCTTTCTTTCTCTCTCTCGCTCTCTCGCTCTCTCCCTTCCTCTCTCTCTCTATCACTCTCTCTCTTTCTGTCTCTCTCTCTCTCTCTATCAAGGTGTATTAAAACGGTGGCCATTACAAGGCTTCCGATAATCACTCACCATACTTAGAGCACCCTCGTCAATACCAATTTCATCCATGAAGTTTACCATGAGAGGTAGTTGAAGCATAGACCTCGGGAAGCTCAGCATCTCAGCTAATTGCTCCCGTACACTCCTCCCGAAGATGTCATCCCGGTTAACTTTAAGAGGAAGAGACAAACGTGGTGGAGGAATCCCCAAGACAGGAAATAATCCAAACACTGGGTGTAGACTAATTGTTTGTTCATTGGCATCCTTAAAAAAAGCAATTGTTGGAAAAAATAGAACTTTGAAATTGAATATTAAGCAAAACTATTTGTCATAATATTAACAAAAATACAATATATTGCAGAAGTATACAGCAGGCGCATAGCCAGGGATAGCGACCCCCCCCCCCTCCCCCAAGAACGGTCCGAAAGAAAGAGAGAGGGAGAAGAAAAAAGTAAGATGCACGTGTAAAAGTAAAAAGGGCAATTATCAAAGGTGAAATGGGGCACTTCTTGCACCTGAAAAAGGACACTAACTGGCATCAGAAATTATAAACGGCACTTATGAGAATTGAAATGGGTATCTGTTGAAGGAAAAGGACACCTATCAGATTTTAATAGGGGCAATTTTCAAATGTAAAAAGGGACATTTTTGAAAAGGGGAAGGGACTTTTTGCAAAGTTAAAAGGACACTTATGAGAATAAAGCATGGGTACTTATCATAAAGTAAAAGAGGTTCCTGTAAGAATATGATAGTGGCAATTATTGGGGGTGAAAAGGGGGCATTTATGTGAAGGAAAGAGGGCACTTATCAGAAGGGAAATGGGCATTTTTTAGAAAGGAAAAGGGGCAATTATCAAAATAAAAGGGCCGCTTATCAAAGGTAAAACAGGGGTACTTATCAGAAGGGGAAGAGGGCGCTTATAACAATGGAAAAGGGCACTTTTTAAAGTAAAAAAGGGGCACTATGGGGGAACCTGAAAAAGTGGAGGCATTCCCCTTTCCCGCGAAAGCGCCTCTTTGGTGGCGAGGTACTAGGGACTTTTAGATGTGCACATCGACACAGTGGACTGCTACGTGAAATGTCATTTTAAGGCACTCTCCGTCGTCGACTATCAGAATCGAGAAGGTGTCCACCTTGATTTTCCCGTTGTCCCAATTCTAGAACACATTGCACTTGTTTCTGCACATATGTGACGTCATCGCAAGCCTCAAGATGAATGGGGAAAAAAAAGTCAGAGATTTATTTTTGTCTTTGAGTAACCACAGTTTTCACGAACCTGAAGTAAGTTTTGTGGTATCCTTAATTCTCTCTATTCCCATTACAACTCTTTTGTCTTGAACTGTGAAAGTTTGATTGGTATGTTATAGCATCCGTAGAAAGGCTGTAGTGGCAGTGTGCATGGGCTTCGCTTCGCACCGCCCAACCAGCTGGTGACTTTTTGCATTTGATAGGGGCGCGTGGAATATCCTTTAAAATTTGGCGCGCCATTCATGACTTTATCACGCTTGCTTCCTGTCGACGTATATCTACGAGTGAAATTTAAAATATCTCTTTCTGTAGAAGTTGACTACGTCGACACGCATGATTTGTAGACGCCTACGCCGTTCTCATCCACTCAATCTAAAAGTTCCTACTATCTACACCACGACGCCTTCAATCGTATAATTTGATTATGAAAAAAATTTAAAGCTTGCAAAGAATACAGATGTAATTGGAACTGGTTAAACGGAATATATGAACCATTTAAAGGGGCAGTTAAGTTCTTGTTACGACCGCAGATGCCTTTAAAGTTCATGGTTATTACTCTTATGTCATTTGTGCCGTTTTAAGTGTTTTGAATATTTTGTGTAGCGCCCTCTGTACCAAAGCTCAACTATCCCTTTAAAAATACAGACAAAATATACCAGAGGCTAAGGAATTCTGATGAATTCGTAAAAAGTACGATTTGGCATTTTGTACGCTTACATGGTCTAGTATTAGTGTATTGTTTAAAGATTTGTTCACTGATCCCAACTTGTCACAAAGAAATAAAATTATACTCACATCTTGTTTACTTATGTTATGGCATTCAATCATCTCTGTCTTCATCTCTAGATCAATGAGAAATGGATACGACGCCCAGGAGAATTTCTGCAACGGCTATAACCATCAAGAAAAAGTACACTACCGTTCTTCTTGTTTATAATAACACTGGATTGAACATAAATAATTAATTAATTTACGGTAAATAGCCCACACTGTGGAAAGATTGGTTTTCTATGGGAACGTGTCAAACATTGCAAATAGTACATGCATTAACGGTGCAAATTGGATTGACATAATCTGCACTTCGTTTAAGCAAAACAAATTTTAAAATAATGGCATCACTGTAAGGACGCTCTGTTTTCCTTTCATGTTAGTTTAACCATACATAACAATTATTCAATTGAAAATGTTCGTCATTTATTTATCTTGCATGTATTAAATACACATAAAAACAAAAATGTATCATGAGCACTTCGAGATCTTTCCTTTATCCTTGCTAGGATACGAGAGTCATTACTCATGACAGTTCTGTAGTGATATCAACTATGTTAATAATAATAATAACAAGTTACATTTATAAAATGTTTCTAAGCGCTTAACATACAAGTAATTAGGTACAACGTAAAATAAACATAAAGCAAAAAAATACATAATTCTACTAATAACATTACAGATAATTAAAACTGCCCTATCAATTACTATTACCGGTAAACAAAAAATACTTCAGACTTGCCTAATAAAAGACTCTACAGATGGGGATTGACGAATAATAATAGGTAAACTGTTCCATAATTTAGGGGTTGCAATGGCAAAAGTTCGCAAGGGTGGTTCGATGTGATACATGGCGCTTTTTCATTTTCAGATGTTCGGTAATCCGAAAGTTCAATTTTTCTTGTTCGATACTACAAAAATTTAATTTTAATAAAAGTACGTAACTATTACCAAAACAAAACTAAAAATAATAAATTTGACACACTATGCCGATTGTTTATAATTCTGAAAAGAATACAACCCTATATCATCAACTTCGGAATTGTGAACTCTCTTGTGTGGCAATTTTTTATAGAGCCTTCGAGGGAAAAAACGATTCTTCGGCAAAACTAGAACTCCCCCTCCACTGAAAAGGACGATCAGACAGGTATTACTTACTGGAGGTGGATGTTTCCAGACTTTGTCTAAATCTTGGATGTAGAACGTCTGAATGGAAAGGATGTCTTGCTGGAGATTAATCTAATATAGACAAAATATAAAGGATAACACAGATATAAGGCATATATTCTTGCTGAATGAAATACAGATGTCGATAGATACGCAAAAGTATTGACAAGACATATTAACATATTACTCTGAAAACATTTACACATAATCAAAGTGAATATGATTAATTAGACACCTTAACCGTGTTGAAAATTATCCTCACATCAAGGGTGGTTGTGTTGGCGGTCGGGAAATAAAGATCGCGAATCCATGGCTTCTTTCAAGATCTGACCTTGTGTAGGGCCCGGATATGGGGAGATCTAGAGGAGAATGGTGGCGGGGGGGGGGGGGGGTATTTTGACCCCTTTACATGTGAAATATTCCCTTCAAAAAGCTAATTAGAGTAGGGTTAGTGTGTATGTGTGTGTGTGGGTGTTTGGGTGGGTGGGTGTGGGTTTGCTGGTGTGGGTGTATGTGGGTGTGGACCTGTATGCAATTCGTTAAAATTGGTCCAGGGTTGAAGTTCGGAAATCTGTTAGTGTAGGAAATTAATTCAGAGCAATTGTTGCAGGAGCAAGTGTCTAACAGCCGTAAAAAAAACTAACAGAACTGGTTCAAATAGTATTAACTTTCTTACCTCATTTAAGTAGCTCAGAACTCTCAGGTTGCTCCGAAAGTTGTCCAGTTCCTTCTCCAATAGTGCTCCGTCGTTGAATAGGGTTGTGAGGGACATTCGGTAAGCCGTGATTGTACGCTGAAATGACATTGGTTCGAACTTCCACCAACGAGCTAAAATGTGGCAAATGGAGATAGAATGACGGTTAGATATGGTGTTTAGTTGCAGGGTTAAAATCAAGGATAACATTAGTGTTTTATATCGAAATTGCTGCCGGAACACGTGTCATACGAACCCGCTTAGCAATCTTTATTTACATCGTTTAATTAACCTGATCGCAATGACTTTCTTGAAATAAACTCTATGGGAATTTAAATACATACTGTATCGCCTATAGAAATTCACGTTCGGATTGGTAATGATGCATTACAATGTTTGCACATTGCGAAAGGCTTTCGTCAAGCTTTAGCTGTTGAAATTGTCCAAGGATGATTTCCCTTAAAGATGAAGTTGAGTTCTGGTCATGCGATTGCATTGTGAAAGAAACGGTGTGGGATCGACCAGAAAAGGCTGATCATCTAGCATATAAGAATATGTGTGTATTGCAAGGTTCTGGAATCATCAAAATGATAAGAGATTTGGCCAAGTCTTGGTAAAGTTACAAACACTGTACACAGAAAGATGTATATGGGACTACACGAACACGTGGCGTAAAAATGCTATCCTGAATTTTTACGATGTTACAGGACATATTTAGAATATGAAGGCATTTGAAGAGCCATGCTTTTTAAGGAACATGTCTTATCTAATGTCCTTCCACACTTGCATAATACAATGATAACGCTCACAAATTATTTTTCACCTCTTCCCAGAACTCAACCTTCTCTTTAAGTTTTTACGATCATGTTGCCTTTGCTTCGTATTTTCTAAACATCACATGACATAAGGAAATTGTCTACAGAGGTATTTATTAATTAGAAACAACTTTGGAAAACTCGAGTGAAGGCAAATACTTGGAAAACCTCACAGTAAACACAGTGCTCTCATCATGAGTGGCAGTACGCCGTACGAAAGGCATGTTTAAACTCATCCAAAGTCATTTAATAAAATCTTGCTTTGGATATTTATTATTTCATATGTTTTTTGCCATTTCAAAATAATATTTTACATGATAAATCATTTAGTGATTTTGAAGATAATTAGCCCAAAGCATTAAACAATAAACATATATTGACAAAAGTTTGACTTTGCACTATTTTCCCCGATGCCTGTTACTCGGTTTTCCTGAAGTTGTGTCTGACTGTTTACCAGGTGTTGCCGAGTTGGAATTGTTGTATGCGGCCTGCGATGCCGTGTGAAGGAATCCTAACAACCTTTCTGCAGCGGCCAGGGCACGGCGCCCCCAGTGGCGGTGAGGGTTACTGAAGACAGGACATTCCATCAGAATAAATACGAACTGAAGGGCTTCGGTGTGGGGTGTCGACTGGGGTATGCTGGTACACAGATCAACAGAGATCACATCGGAGAGCTGTGGAAGATGATGATGTGAAAAACTTATTTTGTAGAACTCAATTACTTGCAAAGATATGCATAGTTGTTTTTAAAAAAATACAACATAACTGATATCTTAACATTTCTGAGTAAGGTGTATTACATTTCAATTCAATCATGTTGTATGTAGTTGTTAATTTGTTGTTACCTTTGGTCGCTTTTTAAAAAGATCCTTTTGATCTTTACAGCAAATCATAATATTTCGACCATCCGACAAGATAATCAAATTATTAAAACATTTAACACGAAAGAACAGAAACTGGAAATCGCTGTTTTTGATATCAACTTCCTCTGTTGAGTTTACCCAAAACAATTTGTTTTAAATAGATGTTCGTATTTTTTCCTAGGAAACGTGTGTTTTCTTGCTGAATAAATACATTTTCGTTTGATTGATAAATGTTATCCTTTTAAAAACTGCAAGATGTGATCAATATGGAGTTCCGTACAAATCTTTATGGCTATAAATCATATAAATATAATGACGAAATCTAACGTGCAATGTAAAACTATAAACATTTTTACCCTTTCAAGGAGTTTGTCGTTCTTACTGATCACTCCGAACGCCCTTCTCGCTGCTTTTAGATCAATGTTCAGACCATTGACTTCGTTAGGTCTAAAAATATAAAGTACAAACGTTAAAACTAGATTAAATCATCGCGAATACTTCTAGGAAATTAACTTAAGGACGATTTTAATGCCTTATCATATCGCCTTTGAAAAACGACGTCCGTATTGTCGCTCATTATACGAGGTAAGGAACAAGTTTAAGGCTATTAAAGTTCATTTGGGTGATGTTTTGAAAATTCCATGCGACTGTAGGTCAGCAGAGATATTAGAAACCGCTTGGAACATGCTCCACATTATTTGCAGTAAAAAAAATATTTTGTACACGATTAGAATACTGCTAACGAAATGGCTACAAAGTGCACTCACCAAGACCGAACACAAACAAAATTGATAACGTACTTTTCTATATCGTTGTGGTGAATTGTGCAATATCTTACCTCATAATGTTCGAAAATAAGAAAACTTTGAACTTAATTGTTTAAGAAGTACAAATGAATACCTAGAAAACATTAAATATATTATGTAGCCTAACAGTTTTAATTGCAATCTTAATATAGTATATTTTATTTTCAGAAAATAGACCCTTCAATAAAACTGAAATTGAATTAAGGTAGGGGTGGAAAGGGTAGGTGGTGTAGTTTATGGGAATATATAGTTGTTGTAATGATGATAATCATTAATATGTACACGCACTGGTTCATGTGTGTTGTTTATATGATTATTTTTTTCCGTTTGTTATTGTGTATAGTCATTGTTACCCTACATGAGATGCATCTAGTGTAATTTAAATCTCTCTCCTGGGTTTTATGTCACATCTTTACTATTATATTATATGTACTTTCATGAATAAAAATGAATAAACAATATTGTTTTTAATTGAATAATCAATTTATTGTTGTTATTTAGGGACCCCGATGAAGAACAGGTGAACTTTGTCAGATGATCTGAAGCGGGTGATCCATCGATTTTCTTTTTCAGTTTAATATTTCAACCTCCTAAAATATTCCTTGTAGAATATATTAGGTTTTGGTTTCTGTATGTGTTAAGATGTTTGTATTATATATTTTATGATCGTAAATAAAACCAGTCTACACCAAAACAATTCAAAGACAAACACCGGGTGTGGCGGGTTTTAAAGAACCCAATCCACCTGTGGTAAAGCTTAAATGTAGATGCTAAGACGATATGTATGACCTGTGAAATGATTGTCCTTGGAAAACATCATCTTTACCCTGTTTGGCGGAAGGATGCATTTAGGCAGGCGGGAGATGAGAACACCATGCTTGCATATTGGAATACGGCGTCCTCTTCAGCGATGTCTCCTTCCATGTCACTTAAACTCTGCAGCAGTTCGGCAGACAGTGTATCGATCTCTCTTCCAGGGGTAATTGATATATGGACATCTTTCCTCTGTGGGTGAAAAATATAAAGGAAGGAATGAATACCCGCTCATATTCAGACTTGAAATGCTATCAAAATCAAAAGACAACATAACCAGCGATTTAGATGATTACTAAATAAAAGTACGTCAGGTAAATTTTAAGTTTGGGACAAAATATAATTATTAACAACTAGCCTTTTATTTGTTATTGATATTCTGTATCATTTTCTATTTTTCAAAAAGTAAATCTTCGACGATTCGTATATTAATTGTACGTGAAACTCATCTCAAACTCTGAAATGTCTATACAGGCCCCCATAAACATGACCAACTAACCTTCACGTTTTTTGCACCTTCCTCGGTTGTTGATCAGGAAACTACAACGACAAAAGCCACAACATATAACTTAAAGTAAACTTACCATCGGTTCGTCCTGCTCTATGATAAAGATGTTTTCCTGTCCAGCGCACAGTCGGCGCCAGGTTTTTGGAGGCCTTTGATTGTTCTCCTGACCAACACCAGCTTTTCCAGATAAATCTTCCACCGTTTCTCTCGCAGGACAATCATGGTCTTTGGTGGTTGAAATCGCATCCAATGCAGCACAAAGATCAGTAATGCCGTCCTCAATAGGAGCAAGGTGTTCAGCATAAAAGGCAGGCTCATTCATTAGAGATACACCCACTTGAGTGGTGGGATGTGTTGCAGCATCAGATGAAAGTGTCACGATCCTCTCTTCTGACCAAGAGTTGGACTGAGGGATCTCACTTCCTGACTGTTGGTAGTGGAGTTTAGTTGCTGTTCTATCCATGTCCGTAGGCGCTCTCTCTTTGTCCTTTGTGGGTTGACTGTACTGTTCGTCGGAAGACGTACCGTGGGAAAATTGTGCGACAGGCTTAGGTGATGTTTCAACTGAATCTGCGTGGTTCCATGACATGTCCTCTTGGTTATCAATATAGGCACACCCAACTCCCGGGTCATCATGAACAGCATCACAGGAAATACTGACATCATCCTCATCGCAAGTCAAAAAGGAATCATCATCACTGTGCGTGTCACCGATGCTGCTACTGCAGTCGACAAAATCACCATCTTCATCGCCGTCGTCTTGAAATGCAACAAATCTACAATCGTTTAAGGAATCGTCTCTGCGGGTTCCTTCTTCGAACCTTTCGAAATGTTTGTAGTCCTCTACAGGCCTTGCTGGTTCCCAGACCTCTGGGTCAAAGACGTAACGACCGGGTGGCCAATCAGTGGACGATTCAGGTTCAAACACATCAATCATCGAACCTCCTTCAAGGTGTTCAAGCTGTACAATTCCATCCGTTTGGACCTTCTCGTGATCAAGAACGAAGATCCCGTGGGTGAAATCATCAACAGCATATGTACATCGACTGCATGGAACGGTAAGATAGAAGTCTAAGGTGTCGAAATATGTTGCGGTATATTTTTTCTTTGTCATCAGTGGTGGTTACACAAGAGAATATCATTGAACTATTTTATCTTATTTATGTTGACTTATGTTAGTATTTTTGAAATTGTTTGGAAGTTAAGGGTCTTGATCCACGAAAAAAAACACTCTTTGGTAAGCACAAAGACAAAGTTAATCGTTTGCTCATTCTAGTCGTTTCAGCCACTGATTTCAATAAAGGAAATTCTTTATTGTGGACAACAATGTAGAATTAATATAATACTGTTCCATCTACTAGTTCCAAAAGTATCAACAGATTAATAAAATCAGTTTGTCATCAAAAGCGGTGATATAATGGTAATCTTGTGGAAATAATCAAAAAAATCAATACATTAAAAAGCTATAGAGCAAAAAACAACACCAACAAAACAAATTAACGAACACAACAATAAGTAATAACAACAAAATACATAAATGCACACCTGGTTGACTGTAGAAAAGAGAACGTGCGGAACCGTTTGGGTCGTCCAGGTCTCAGTTCAGAATCGCCCCATTCATCAGAGTCACAAGGGCACCTGTCTACACCCCTACCATATACTAACAGCTGGCCATTCTACGGAAAATAAACCGCAAAATCAAAGAAAATTATAGCTCAAGGAGATCGATCACAAAACAATCATTTACATTTTGGAAGACCTGAAATATCCTCACTTATACTAGTCTGGTATGGAGTCGAAAATAAGTAGCGTGAGCGCCAACGTTTGCAAGAGGTGCGTTGGCTGGTCTTTCTACCTGTCTCAGGATTGCTACATCGGCATTTCTTATTGTTAAAGATTCGACGGAGATCTATTATTTGAAGTTCATATTTTGAATATGAAATATTATCATGGAATGATCTCATATTTTAAGGAGTAACCAAATGTAACATGTATTAACATTAACAGTAAGAAGTTAGGAGTACCTCTCATTTGCGACTAGTTCCACTTATATCAGGAGTAAATCAAAGAGTCATCAGAATCAGGGAGTTGTTCAAGTAAATGCTATCCTTTACTCTAAATCTACAATTATCATGACATTGCTGAAAAAATAGTACCCAACAAAGATAAATGGCTACATGAAAGCTCATCCCATTTAGGAAATGATCATTTCTGATCACGATACTAGACATTGAATTCGTCACGGCGACGATTTAGGTGATCTGCCGCTTTGATCGAGACATATGTAGAAACTCAATGGGAGATTTGGTCTTGTACAGACTATGCCGTAAATAAAACACAAACTCAATGGGAGATAGCACGCACTGTACAAGTAGAAACCATAATGGCAAATTTTGCAGTTTTCATCTTTAATCGGAATTGTAACCACGTTGCCGGTCGTCTTCTGATCAAAGATTGAATCATAATGCATACAACATAGCAATTATGTAGAGTTTCAGCGAATTAAAAAAATAGGTACTTGAAGGAGCGTTGATTATGAGCTAAATTAAGGTAAAATGATTTCAGAATGATAAGAATAGTATCAGCAACACAATGCAAATGAACAAAATTGAATTAATACATTCAGTACGGACGGCACGCGCAAAAAAGTGTGCATGCGTCCGCTCGCTCAAAGTTTTGAAATGTTCAAAAAGGTCTAAAACGTGTAGAATAATTGGTTTAATAAGCAATTCGACCAATTTCAAATTTTGACGCGCGTACGGACATCGTTGTAATCAAAATTTTACCCATGACCTCAAAGGTATTGCATATAAAATATCATTAAGAAATGACAATGTATGAATGAAATATGGCCAATATTAGAAATTAACAAAATGGCGCCTTGATGACGTCACGCATCAGTAATAAGAAAAATCTCTTTGTTGGGATCAATAATCATTATGCCACATGACATGAAAGCTTCTTGGTCATTTATCATGCCACTCATGAGATATCTACGTAATAAAATTCATACAGAAAAGAAAAACAAAAAATAACACGCTTCGCGGATCACCTAATAATAACAGTGATAGTATACTGTGTTTAGATTAAGCTCAATATATTCGTGATGTCCAAATGTGCTTTACAGAAATAATATTACCCCGGTCATTGGATTAAGGCTTTCCCACTATCGATGTATGCACGTTCCCCACTATCTATGTAAAAGAAGGTCGCAGTGCTGAGCAAATAACAAGACTTTCGCCTCCGTACAGGTACCCATTGAACACCTGGGTGGGGAGAAGCAATGCAGAAAAATGCCTTGCTTAAGTGCATA